ACATGATTACATGATAACAGGTTTTAGCTGAGTTTTCAATTGTTTCTACGGCGAACACGTACGCGCCGAAACATGAAATTCAACACAACTGGCATTAAAGAAGCAATTGACTGCTGCAAATAGCCTATCCCTAAAGTTTAACACCAAATAGCTAGTCCTATGTCAGATGTAGTTATAAGAGTCGCATAAGCTAACAGCGCCAATACCTCTAAAATAGACGACGGATGACGTCTGCGAAATCACTATTAACGAAATACAGATGTAGCTGCGTAATTACCCAAGAAAAAGTGCTATCCGAGATCATTTTGATAGTATTGCAAATGTCATTCTGAACAACATTAAAATAGCTCTGCAGAAACTTATCGACAAAGTGCTTGGTGTGGATGAATTGGACGTGGTTATGCAAAAAGGATCCAACCCTAAAGAAGAAAGCTAATTTGAGGTTATGAGATTTGAAGAATGGATCTGTACGGTTTGTGTGTGTGTGTTTGTAATTTTTCTTCTTATTTGTGTTACTTTCGCTAAAATTATTGCATCACATAATAGTATAGACCACAAACATTATTTTTCAACTGAACATTTTTGACACAAATTACACTGGATCCTTTTTGCGTAACTATGTCCAATTTACAGTAGTACTACTGAAAACATTTCAGAGTTGAATGGAGAACCGGTACTTAAACCACTTTGAAAGGAATTTTTTTCCATCCATCACGGTTGTTCTTAGACCTTTTAACCCAACCCCACCTACGGGTGCCTGACACTCTTGGACTCTATTATCGAAAAATGTCTAGGACTATAATCCTTATAAATAATCTTCGGTAAGCTATACAAAAGACTGAAGAGTATAATCTGCCGTCATGTCTAACGTATTCAAACAACGAAAAAGCCTTCGATATAATCGAAACTTGGGCTACTACTGTCAATTCAACAGTGCAAGATTGACAGTACCTAGGTATAAATCAACAAATATTCTGGGAGGAACTGAAACGTGGTTTTACACTGCTAAACGCATGAAGAAGCTTAAAAATAGTAACAGACCTGTAAATAGCGTGCTGGTACCGAGGTTTCTCTGTCTGTTAAAATCCGTAAGGAGTATATCCGAAACAGAACAAGACCTAATGAACCTTATGACTTAGCATGTTGAAGTGCAATGGGCTGGCCGTATATCTTGAAATACTGACACTTTGTTATAAAGAAAGGTTCTCAAGATATAGCTAACTGTAACTGGCAAGTGCAGTCTGATGGAAGACTTACATTCGGCCGTAAACTTATAATAAATAATGAGCTGTAACAGGTGGGTTGCCAGAAGTAAAGACTGTGTAAAAACCTCCGAAGGAGGCGGAGTTATAGCCGAAAAAAAATTTTTTTTTTTTAGTTTTTGGCCATTTTAACCCCTTAGGAGTGTAATGAGAACTTTTTGCCCCTATTCAATCATGACCCCCATGACATACTATACATGATAGTTCAAGTCACCCCCCAACTCTTAGTATTTACTTCAAATGATGATAATGATAGTCCTCGGTGAGACTCCTAGCTATTGACTCACAAAAGTTTACTCAAAGAAGAACTTTTAGAAGAGAAAAATCATAATCTTTATAAGTGATCTCGCAGCACCGCAACAAGTAATTATTTTTCTTTCCGGTTTCCTTCGCTTTTCTTGATATCGATATCGAGAAAAGCGAAGCAGGAAGCCTTTTCTTCATCAGCCTTTAAACAGTCCAATGCTGTACATGGGAACTTTCTCTTAGAAGATAGGTTTTGTCTTAATCGCTCTTGTTAGATGATGACAATACCTGATGTCACAAACATTAGTCTGCACTTAAATCTGGTAATATATTAAATTTAATGAAATATCTCTAGTAATTAAGTTCGTACATTGATAAATAAGGTAACAATACTAAGAACATTTTGTAATGGTCCTGTATAATTTTCTATAAAAGAAAAGAATTGATGCCAATTATTTCAGGTAAATTTATTTAAAACATTAGGCCTGTAAGGCGTTGAATTATGAAATAAAACACAATTTACTTTTTATAATTTATTTTTCTTTGAAAAATAAAAATAAAACAAAATGTAAACTCTAAACTTAAGAAATACAAAACTTTTACTTATTCGGCATTCAGCAAAGAATGAATTAAAAATAATAATAGCTAAACTTTGTATATGTTTATAATGTTAACTTATCAATAAACTCTATTTATTTTATTAAATTATGAGGTAGATGATTTCCATTAGTCTTAAAATTCTTAAAAATAAAAATTATGTTTTAATAATAAAAATGCAAGAAACCCGTATTTATAATACCATAATTATTGTTTTGTAATTTGAAATATCATTTTATTAGTTAGTAGTCAGCCATTTTGAAATAATGGAGTCAACTTTGATTTTTAATAGCGTAATATCAGTACATAATATATAATTTCATATAAAATTAAATAGCATTTTGGTGACAAAACATAAACGATTTAAATATGGTTATACAATAAAATATCGATTATACTAAATTTGACATTAAACTGGCAATTAATAAAATTATATTTGTAAAAAAAACTTAAATCTAAAATTACAAAAGACAGTCCACGGCAAATGATTATATTTAAGCATATATTTGCCTACAGGCGGAAAAATTAATAAGTAAATTTGTTATACATGTCTCAAACGTGACATTTTAGGAAGTAGGGTTGACAAACGTTATCTAGTTTACCTTAATTTACTTTTTTCTTAAGCTTATTCAAAACTTACCTAACTTTACTTAAATCTAAAAATCGATGGGTTACTGATTATTATGTTCATTAGCTCTAATTTCATATTCATAAAAGTATATGATAAATGCATATGTGAAAAACCTAGTATGTTCGATTTTTATAATAAAATTTTTAATTAATGACAAATTTCACTGTGTATATGTTTTAATTTTGATTTTTGAGGCAAAACTACACACTTTGTTTTTCTCAAAAAAGAAACAACAAACCTTTATCAAATTTATTTGAAAATTTAAAGTTTTAAATTAGTTATATTGAAAAACGGTGTTAAGTACCATATTAAAAGTAATTGGAACTTTACCTTACGACTTATGAATAAAAGTTTGAGCAAGCGATAAAAATGTGTTTAAATATATTTGTATTAAACTTTTCAGATATTGAACCTGAACCCTTTCTAGTTCAACGTGACAATTAAAACCAAGAAAAGAAAATTAATAAAAATAAGCTCAATTGACGTTATTATTTAGTTTTTAATTTTCATAATTATTGCAACTATATAGATTTTGCTTTGGCACATCAATTTTATATAGTTACTGAATATTTATTAGTTGTTAAATAGATATGACTGGCACACTTATTTTATAAAATGTATTTTTTTTTCAAACATGTTTTACTTTATCTGACAAAATAGTTTAATGAATAATAAATAGTTAATTGTTTACATAGACAAGTTAATTCCCGTTCCTGGTTTGAATCGTTAAGTTTGCGTTAGTGGATTGTTTTACACCGCCACAACGCAGCATGGGTATCTTAAGAAGTGATCGTGGTAAACTATGACGGGAATTTGACAGAAGCATCTTCTTGATAAAATCTCAATATAATAAAAAAAAACTACAGTTGCCCACCCCTGCCAAGCGTAGCTATATAAAATATATATAAAGCAATCAATAGAGGATGAATTATGTTCAACAACGGATTTTCCATACGTTGTAATTAATGAATGAATATAATTATGATAACAATGAAACTATGTAGTGATTCAAATTAAATTAAATTTCTTTGAGTTATTTAAATAAAGTAAATCTTGAAGTAAGACTAAAGATTATTATGACAAAACAAAGGTAATGACATTGTTCTAAAGTCTACGATAAGAAGGAGCTAAATATTAAAGTTGTTAGACAAAACTTCACTGTATTTATATGATAACTAAAATCATGGTCAAATAGAATCTTGTAAGAGCCGGCGATAAAAAGGAATTAGAAATACATTGAGGAGTTAATTAACCAAAAAGTAATTTTTGAGAAGTAATTCACACGAGCGAAAACGCATAAACATATACATTCTTCTCATTCTCAGTTACGGAGACATACAATATCTGATTTTAATCCTAAAATCTAAACTCAAGGTTTGCTAAAAATTGCCATTGATCGCATTAGAACACCAAATTATATTCCAAAACTTTCTACTGGGCTGGTCACGTTGACCGTATTTCCATAGAACTTTGGTCGCATAAAGCTAGAAGCGATGAACTAGATAAATTTTCAATTAAATGGCAATGAACAGCACTAGAACGGGATCAATGAAAATAAGTTGTGGTAGGCTTAGCAGTGGGACGTTAAAGACTTCTTAAAATAATCCTTGCGTTGTGAAGAATATTTTTAACATTTTTCAATTACATGTTTGTATGCTTATAGCATAAAAAAAGGATAGAATTCTTATAAGCAAACTATTTTAGACGACCTACAAGTAAATGTAACTAAATGAATGATTTATTCAGTCAAAATATTTAATTTCCAACAAAATTAATATAGAAGCGGTTCTTATCTTTTCTTTTTCAATAATTTATTTCGTTCATAGCCAAATACAATTAATCTAATCGCAGTTAATTATTCTCTAAACATAACATCAAATCATCGAAAATAATAGAATATAGTAACAAAATTAATAATATTAATGTACAAACACAAGCTTAACTTTGGATATACAATATAATACGTAAATTAATTATGATATCCACACTTGAACACAAAAATTTGTACTTAAGTTACGGTTGCAAACTTAATCCCTATGGATTTATGAATTAAAATATTATATATAGTTTGCACTAAGAATTGATTTGTACTCATCAGTCTTGTTCTTATTTCAATATAAAATTTATTAAAATGAGGTAGTTTTGTTGCATATAAGTAATAAAATGTTAATTTTTATTTATAATGTTTTTTTTTTCAATACGAACAACCAAAAGTGACTGTTATTGAAATTTAGAAGTTATATTCCTAGTAATTTATTGCCGCATTATGACTGTTGGGGACTGCTCTGTTGGCTACCGGGAGAGCTGCCTGAACTCTTCGATTGTGACTCTTCTTTTTTCTTTTCCACCTTAAATATTTTACATTAATCGGATTAAAATTTTACTAAATACAGCCAGTAATTTAAAATGATACATTGCTACCTTACTTTTATAAGGTCTCAGACATTCAAAATAGTTTCTTCGTGTTCATTTACGTACCTTAATAGGACAATCTGCAATAAGATGATCTTCGCTCTTGCAGTTGTGGCATCTCTTTGGTTGTGGTCCAATGCTGCACTTGGCAGCTATATGGTTTGCGAATTCCCCACAGTTATAGCAACTGAAATAAAAACAAATTAAATATTGTTAAAACTTTTTGTGTATCACTATAAATGGTATAATTTGAAAACTATAGACTTGGGTATGGCAGAAGAAACATGAAAGCAGAATAAATGCAGTTGAGATGAGAGCGTTAAGAAGTATGATAGGAGTTAAACTGAGTGACAGGATAAGAAATAGTGAGATAAGGAAACGTTGTGGTCTGAAAGAAGATGTAGTGACAAAAATTGAGAAAGATATGCTGAGATGGTTTGGCCATGTCGAGAGAATGAATAAAGAACGATTGACGAAAAAGGTATATAAGGCGAGTGTGAATGAAAGTTTTGGAAGGGGTAGACCTAGGCGGACGTTTCTATACCAAATCAGGGACGTCTTGAAAAAAGGCCTGGTCAAGAGTACCCTAAACCGAAGAGCATTTATGAAGAGAATAATGAAAGTGGACGAAGCGAAACAAATATGTAAGGATCGTAGCAAGTGAAAAGAAGTGGCCTACCCCTACGGGAAGGAGGCGTGATTATTATATGTATGTATAGACAGGGATAAAATAAACAAGGTTGTATCCATAAGGCTTTTATTAACCTATTGCGTCATAAGCAAAATTCTATAGTCAAGACATAGATATTTGTTAATATAATCTGTACAAGTGGCATGCGGGAAGTAAAAACCGTGTAAGAACTTGTATTTGCTTCATGGTAAGAACCTCCGAAGAAGGCGGAGTTATAGCCAAAATTAGAATTTTAAGTTTTTTGGTTTTTGGCCATTTTGACCCCCTAGGTGAGTAAGATTTTGACCCCCTAGTGTAATAAGAACTATTTGACCTTATTCAAACATGAACCCCATGACATACTCTACATGATAGGCTATTCAAACTGACTATGCCTAAAGTTCGAGCCATCCCCCAATTTTTTGGTTTTTGGGCATTATGACTCCCTAGTAGTGTAATGAGAACTTTTTGCCGCTGTTCAACCATGACCCCTATGACATCTACATGATTAGGCTATTCAAACTGACTATGCTTAAAGTTCGAGCCACCCCCCCCCCCCAATTTTTGGTGTTTAGGCATTTTGACCCCCTAGGAGTGTACTGAGAACTTTCTCCCCTTATTCAATCATAACCCCATGACATCCTCTACATGATAGGCTATTCAAACTGACTATGCCTAAAGTTCAAGTCACCCCCCCAACTCATTTCTAGTATTTACTTCCAAATACTTCCAATAATCTAAACGATATCATACATCAAGGAAGTTTTCATACATTGTTAAATTTAATTTTGTCATTTATATTTAAAGAATTAGATCTACGTCGGTAGTTAAATCAATATCTACCTTATTCATTATAAAAATAATTTAATGAGATAAATGAAAATTAACTCATTCATACCGTATTTTTCTGAAGCGTTTTTTAGAGAGTGGACGACGGTGTGAGCCCTGGCAGTCAACTGAAGATGGTCCCGAAACACGAGTTGCTTCCAAACCCTTTTCAGACTCTTTACACTCAAATTCCACTTCTTCCTCGTCTCCCAATGATCTGAAGCCCGGCATTTGAATAACGCTCTGGAATTTATAATTTAATTATATTACTGATTACTATAATTGATATCACAGAAAAACGAATATGAAAGAATTATTAAAAATAATGTTATGATGCTTACAGGAGAGATAGAGTTACAGGAATCACTAAAATGTCTCCAGTAAAGATAATAGACTTAGTCACTGCCAGATAATGAGTATAACGTATACAATAACAAAACAAATTAATTATAAATAGGCAATATTTTAACCTATAGGCATGAGAGAGAAAAAAGTTTATCAACTTCCAATTACTTATTCTTGACCTAATATCATTTTTACGGCTAGCGTTATTGCAGCCGAACGAAGTATTTTAGTGGCATAAATGTATAGAAAAAACATCCGGCCTTGATAAGCTGAACAAACAAACAAGCGCACTATCAGGTCAACCGCTAGATACGGCAGCGTGTTTTCAAAATGGATTTATTTTTTCCAACTATTGACAACTTATAAATGAATGATATTTTTCTAACATGAATTAATACTCGTAGTAATAATAATAATTATTAAAATAATAAGTAAGAAATAGATCCTCCCAACCCTTGGTCGTTTGATTTCTGCCGAGAGCTTCTGTCAGGTAGCGTTTTATTTATTTAATTTTATTTTACCTCTTTTATTATTTTTACGTATTTATATATTTTTTTACGCCAACCAGATCATTACTTTTCATTGATTTTGTAACAAATGTATATAATTTTATAACGTAGCAGAGTCATGCTGCAGCTATATTAGTGGTATAGTTGTAGCACGAAGGGGCTCGACCGGGGAAGGACCACGCGCTCACAGAATACCAGCGTAAAATTGCAGCTTAACGCCGCTGTTGCGTATGGTGAATGTAGAGAACCGGAGACTCTTTTTACTGGAACCGAGGCATTCCATCTTAGTCCTCACGGGTGACGACGCATCTGCATTTTGATTTGTAAGCGAGGATAGATGTTGATGTCTATGGGCCACAGCAACCACTTACCATCAGGTGGACTGTGTGCTCGTTTATCACCCTTATCCTATAAAAAAAAACTGTCAAGTTGCCGTCCATGCGTATTGATTATGATCAGCAGTAAACTGCTTATCTGATGTAGGGTACTGTATGATGTGGTTGTTTTATAATTGCATTAATGACTTGAATTCTTATATTGGTTTCATTACGAGTTAAATATCAACCATAAATATGTTTAGCATTGACCATTTCCCTTTTCAAGTCACTGTACCCACGTTCTAATTTCTTGGGCTGCTAAAACTTAAACTACCTGCAAAATTTCTAGACACTGGTTAAAATGGATTGATTCGAATTGTTCTCTTACTCTGTAAACAATCTTGGTTTGTATGTTGGCAGTATATTGAACTAAGAACCTCATGTCACTGAAATAAATCCAACATGTAATACCTAAAAGCTTCGATCAAAATCTTTATATTAAGCTAAAGCGCTTTTTCAACCGAGTCGTTTCTCGATTTTATGTAATTCCAAGTCTTCATTTTATCATAAGAAAAACTTTTAATTTCTTTTTCTTACTAAATATATATTAAAATATATATAATAATATATATAAAAATGGAGGACAGAGTGCAGAGTTGGCACGTGGAATGTTAGAGGAGGCATGAGAGATAAGACGAATGAGTTGATCGAAATAATGAAAGAAAGAGAATTAGATGTCGTGTGTATGTCGGAGACCAAACGGAAGGGCAGTGGTACTGAAGAGCTCCCTGGCGGGGCGTTAGCTCTATGGTCCGGAGTCCCGGAGAGCGAGAACGCCTGCCAGGGAGTGGGGATGCTGCTGTCTTCTCGGTTGGTCGATGTTATGACTGAATATAAGGTTGTGAACACAAGACTTCTCTGGGTTTGCTTTAAATTGGGACTGACGAAGTTATTCCTTTTGGCTGTTTATGCGCCGGTAGCTTCGTCGTTCAGGTCAGGGCTGAGCTGGAGGAGTTTTGGGAGAATGTAAGAGAAGTTCTAGATTTGGCTAGGGGAAACGAAAGAATTGTTGTATGTGGTGATTTGAATGGATGGGTTGGTACCGCTCGACCAAGGTACGAGTCGGTACTTGGAAAATTTGGCGATAAAAGGGTTAATGATTCTGGCAAGCTTATACTGGCGGTGTGCAAGGAAAAGGGTCTTCTTGTGACAAACACTATGTTTAATCACAAGAAAATCCATATGTATACTAGAGAACGAAGGAATGAGAGAAGTATGATCGATTTGTTCCTGGTGGATGACCGACTGCGAAAACAGGTGATGGATACGCGAGTATTCAGGGGTGCTGACCTGGGAACGGATCACTATCTAGTGATTACTAGATTTAGAGGTCTGTTCGCGGGTTGGCGCTACCGGACAGCAGTAACAGAACCACAGTCGGTCTGTCGCATCCGAAGCTGGAAGCTTCAGGAAGCGGATACTAGGGACAAATATCATGCGAGGGTAGCCGAAAAGCTTGACATCATCGATGGCAGAAAATAATGTGTAAAAGAACATGGCAGAACCTTAGGGATGGAATGGTAAGTGCAGCGGAAGAAGTGTGTGGAACAATAAAAAGAGGCAGTAGTAAAAGAAGAGATGCATGGTGGAATGATGAAGTGAAAGAAGCTGTAAAGAAGAAGAAGAAAACATGGTTAGACTACTTGGCCTCTAGTAATGATAAGGATATGAGAGAGAAGATGAAAGAAAGATATAGGCTGCAGAAAGTTCACACGAAAGCATTGATTGAGGAAGTGCGTGAAAGGTGTAGAATGGAAGCGGACGAAAGGTTGTCGCACAACTGTAATGAGAAGTCTAAACTCTTCTGGAAAGAGGTTGGAAGGACCCGAAGTGGTACGACGGCCTTAAGAATGAACAAAGTGCTTTCGAGAACTAATGACGTCCTCTCAGAAAAATCGGACGTCATGCAGCGATGGAACGAATTTTATAGAGAAATGTATGCGTGTGATGATCTTAGTGAGGGATCCGGGGATGACGCCGTGACTGGTACGCCAGACCCGGACCTCGATGACACTGAGGTCATCAGTATGAAAGAGATTGAACGTGTGATTCAAAGTTTGAAATGTGGTAAGGCTGCGGGACTAGACAGAGTTACTGCTGAAATGGTCAAGTATGGTGGGCCTCGCGTCTGGGACAGCTTTCATCTGCTGTGCAATTTGTGCTGGCGAACGGGGGATGTCCCGGATGATTGGCGATCCGCAGTCATTGTGCCTTTATATAAAGGTAAAGGTTCACATTTTGACTGCGGGTGCTATCGGGCGATCAGTTTGACCAGTTTAGCAAGTAAAGTTTACTCGAAGGTTTTGACACGTAGGATGCAAGAGAAATCGGAAAGATTTCTATGGGAGGCACAATGCGGATTTAGACCTGGAAGAGGATGCACGGATCAAATGTTTTCTCTCCGCATGATCACGGAAAAGCTTCTGGCTACTAACTAGAGGATTTTCTGTGCTTTTGTGGATCTTGAGAAAGCATTTGATAAGGTTGTAAGGAAGAAAATGTGGGAACTGTTGCCGGGGTATGGTGTGGATGGTCGGTTGCTAAGGGCTGTGCAGTCTCTTTACTATGACTGTAAAGCCTGTGTGCGGGTAGGGCATGACCTGTCACCCATGTTTAGCGTCCAAACGGGCGTAAAGCAGGGTTGTGTCATGTCTTCCTGGCTGTTCATACTGTATCTCGACAGCTGTTTACAGAAGCTGAAAGATAGCTGTTTGGGTGTGAAATTGGGTGACATAAAAGTAAATTGTCTGCTGTATGCTGATGATGCAGTGCTTATTGCACCATCAGCGGCAGAACTGCAGGCATTAGTCACGTGTATGAAAGAGGAATGTGAAATTAAAGGTCTCCGTTTGGATGCTAATAAAACTAAGGTTCTGGTATTTGAAAGGGACGAAGAGAGAACGAAGTGTGAAATATGGGTAAATCAGGAATGTCTAGAACAGGTTAATGAAATTGTATACTTGGGGAGTGCTTTTAGCCGGGATGGAAGATGTGATTTAGATGTGGACAGGCGTGTCGCTGCCAGGAACAAAGTCAATGGTGCCCTGACTGCGTTAGTCAAAAGGCAAGGCGTAGTGAAGAGTGCACGCCTTGCAATACATAACGCAGTGTTGGTACCGATTTTATTATATGGCAGCGAAACTTGGGTATGCCAGAAGAAGCATAAAAGCAAGTTGAATGCAGTGGAGATGCGATCTCTTCGTAAAATGTGCGGCGTTACCATGGCCGACCGAAAGCGAAACGAAGAGATTCGCAACATGGCAGGTTTGAAAGATGACCTTATCACAAAAATTGACAAGGGCGTGCTTCGGTTGTTTGGGCACGTTGAGCGAATGAGTGAAGACCGAATGGTGAAGAAAATATATAGCGCGAAAGTTAATATTAAAAGGTGTCGAGGTAGACCGTGACTAACTTTCGAAGACCATGTGAGCAAATTGCTCGAAGAGGGTAGAGTCAAGAGTACTCGGATACCTAGACGTGCATGTATGAAGAAGATAATGAATCTAAAAGAAGCGAAAGAGGTTTGTAAGGATCGTGACACTTGGCGATCTGTTCTCTCTGGCTACCCCGTCAGGGATTGTGCGTGAAGATAAGTAAGTAAGTATATATATAAAAATAAAAAAATAAATAAAATTATGATTATCTGTATCTGTAAATCGACTTTTCAGCGCGAATTTCGGTTACGAAGGCCACCCTTAATGAAAACTAGCCATCAGCACAAAACAAGATTGTAGTGCAAAACTGTGTGCACATTCTATTCCCTCACTTTTATTAGCCCGATATAACGGCAATTCGAGGCACGTAGGTGAAACACAACCAATTTTCTGACTCCAGGCTGCTACTGGGAATTTCTTGACAGAAAATTCCAAAAACTGGTTTGTCCGACCCGGGATTCAAACGTGCGACAGACAGCAGTTGCGTTTACGAACACTAGATCAATAACGCAGACGTCAGTCGGGATTATAATAATCCGAAAATTAAAATGGTGATTGTTATATTGGTTATATTATGTTTTATAATGTAATGTGAGTCTGTATAGAATTGCTGCAGTTGCAAAAATTATATTTAAGCTGAATCTAGTAAAAAAGGTTATTTTTATAATATTTCATAAATTAAAATATAAATGCATTTACTTTGAAAGAAATATTCATTTCCTTGCCGAAATTATTCAGTTCCATCATTAACCGAATGAAGTAGATTATATATATTATGTGCAGCATTTAGAAATTCCGCATTAAAGTGATCATTCAAAGGCCAGCGTCGCAAAGGCTATCAAAATTCACATGGAATGCAATGCTTTTCAGCTTCTACTATACAATTAAAATAAATCGTTGACTTTTGGATTGTTTATCCAAAGTCAATGGTTGATTACACTTAATACAGTTAATTAACTTTATGCTCTGACTATAAGAAGACTATTTCGGAGTAAGAATATTAGTGCCAGCTGTTTCTGTATTTACCAATTATTATTTTTTTACATTGGATATTATGTTACAGCTGGTAGAGTCACGTGCAGCTATGTATATTATGGTTGTAACATGAAGGGCCGCTCCATTCACGCTCCCACAGAGTACCAGCGTCAAATAGCAGCTTAATGATGATGTAAAGAGATTTAAATATATAGGTAACTACTTAAATGCCTTTGTGATGATGTGTTTCGTATGTTGAGTAAACTAGTCCTCAGGGATGACAACGCAACTGCATTTTGATTGATTTTAGATGTAAATGTCTATGAGCCACAGCATTCACTTACCATCATTTGGGCTGTGTGCTCATTCGTCACCATTGGTCTTTAAAAAACCATGTTACTAATATTAAATTAATTAAATTTTCATATTACTCTTAAATGGAAACATATAATACAGCTGAACAATAAAGAAGGAGAAAGTTACTGCTTGAAAGTTAAACGAAAAATAAAAACATTTGAATTTTTATACGTGGTATTTTATTTATGAAATTACTTGTTGAAAAAAATAGACGGTAAAGAGAATATGTAAGATAATTCCTTTTATTTATCCACTAGACTAGATGGTCGGCGCAATTAAAAATGTGAGCAGAAAGAATTTGACTAGTTAAGATAAAAGGGTTTAAAGGCATGATAATATTCATTTAAATGCATAGTTACCTGATGTACGAAGACATCTTGACCACCATCGTCTGGTGTGATAAATCCCCAGCCTTTAGCCACGTTAAACCATTTACATCTTCCGCGTCGCGTTACCCCAGTAACTCCACTAGCACCTGCATTACCCGCACCTGTAACAGCAATCACAATGTTGTAAATATTTAATCCTAATTACCATCTACTTTCTACTCTTTCATTTTAGAAGTGTTTTCGGATCAAATAGCGTTTTGCTGATAATCGAATGTTATTTGCCACATATAGACCTACCGAAGGCCTGATTTTTCTCATAGTTTTCTAAAATAGGGTTTAAACAAAAAATTATATGATTATACACATACGATTGTGATAATTACCACCATCTAACCTAAGCCATGAATTATTTTTGATATTATCCACTAAAAGACATAACAACCTTTATAGGAAATGTTCCTGCAACTTCCTTTCAATCTCTTTGAAAAATCAGAACTTATGTGTTCGGACTTAACTTTGGAATAACGTACTACCTTAATTAGTTGTCATTCACATCTTGACGATTTTTGAATTTTCTTTCTAATCAACCCCGAACAGTCCTCAGTTTAATATTGGTGATATATTACTCTTTCATAGCAAAGCTACTTTGCTGATCTTACGCTTAGCAAGGGGTTCTCGATTTTTTTGCAAAAGTCAAGACAGGTTGGTCATCATAAGGCATGATATTTCTTTGGCATTTTCCACAGTCACCTCTAACGAAACGGATGATTGATATATTTTTCACCGACATAATGCAACAAAATTATTTAATCTTTATTGTTAATACCTTAAAGTATAGGGTAACAAAGGACAAACTTAATGCCCACCGGCATTCTCTACCAGTCAAGCCTGGAGTGATGAAATTTTGTGGCCGGTACAATTAAATGTCGGAGCGTCTATAAAATACCGGTTGGATGGAAGTGGAATTAAGAGTATATCGAGAAACCCCCACATGTTACTGCTGTATAAAGTTCACTGTAGGCGCTGTGCGGGAGAGATTTCGCTTAAGTCATTCTACGAGTGTAGTAATTCTACTAGTACTGAGATGAAGATGGCGTCCTGGTTGTGTTCGTTGTTGTTATTCTTCTAGTGCAGGCAAGGAGGATTTGTGTTGCTGAGAGGCTGCCCTGTACTACACTGAGATAAGTAGTGCTTCTGTTGGTTTGCATACTTTGGTGTTATCATGTAACTAGCTGTGCCCCGCGGTTTTTTAGACGGAGTAAATATATATATTTTTCTAGAACATTGTATTTACGTATCCCTAACGATAACACCAGCGTACGCGGATAAATCATTTCGAGAGTGCTTTGTCTTCTGACTTGCTTAACAAATATCCATATTTAAGGCTAGCTGAGTAATATAGTTTATTTCTAGATAGCCTGTACTATTCCAAATGAATGTCTGTATGAATGAAAATCTGGCTGTAATATACAAAAAGAATTTTTCAAATCGCACTGGTAGTTCCAGAGATTAGCGCGTTTAAACAAACAAAAAAACAAAAAAGTTCTTCCGCTTTATTATATTATATTAAAATACTAGTATAGATTACGTACCTCACGTTACACTGGTGTGTGATTGTGGCGGGGACGTGTTACAGTGTGATCGAATTGTAATTTCTCTATACTTAAAGTATGCCTTATCACTGATAACGATTAATTGTGTAAGCAAGAGAGCAAGTTGAACATCCACTCTCACACTTTTGTTATTTTTAACAATTAATGCTAATCCGAGATCAGAAGTTAGATCTCGTGTTATAATTTCCGAGATACAGTTGTATCACAAATAGATATAGTTATAATTATTAATAGATATAGTTGTAGCACGAATGGGTCGGCTAGACCGGGGAAAGACCACGCTCTCACAGAATACCAGCCTCAAATAGCAGCTTGATGCAGCTGTGTTTCGTATGGTGAGTGTAGAGAACCAGAGACCCTTTTTACTGGAAACGGGGCATTCCATCTTAGTCCTCACGGGTGACAACGCATTTTTAACAGTGGTAGAGCCACGCGGCAGCTTTTTCTGTCGCACGGATGGGCCGGCACGAACCGGGGTAGTACCACGACCTCACAGAAAACCAGCGTGAAGTAGAGGTTTACCTCTGCATTTCGCTTGGTGAGTGCAGATGGCCGGAGGCCCTTTTCACTGGAAATGAGGCATTCCATCTTAGTCCTCATGGTTGACAACGCATCTACATTTTGATATGTAACAGAGGATAGATGTAGATGTCTATGGGCAACAGCAACCACTTACCATCAGGTGGACTGTGTGCTCGTTTGTCACCCTTATCCTATAAAAAAAAGATACATATATATCTATATATATATACATACATACTATGATATACATATAATACACAAAATCTATACATATATTATTGTATATTAATATATAAACAAAACATGTATGATATATTATATAATGCATATCATTAAAACACATAGATATAATACGCAAATAATAAAACATCTAAATATGTCAAAACGTTCACTAATCACTTTGTTTCAAAAAGAAGTCATGTATCAGCTTTTAAAAACAGCTTTTTTTTAAAGTGTTTGCTGTTGGCCCTGCGGCTGTGACAGCTTCATCGAATAAGGCTCGTAAGCGAGGACCTACGAGCTATTGAGTGCAACGATTCTCCCGAGGCACCCCGACCCCTGCTTTCAGAGTGAGGCTTCTCGAGCTAGGAGGGGGGGGGCTCGATGCGATTCAAGGGCCCCTCAGAAGGAGGTACGAACCTTGGCTTGAATCACTATCGTAATTTTGTTTACGGGTCGCAAGAATTAGAAACGCCCCGTATCACGGGTGTTGAACCTCGTGTACGGGGTGTGTCTGTGACCTCGCGTTCGCTTGCGAACGCGGTGTGCCCTAGTGTTCTGTACTATAGTAGTGTCTGAGTGTGTGAAAATGTGTTTTTTTAAACAGCCCTTACTTGAAGCTCTTTTTACATTTTCGGGCACGGTGTTCCAGAGTAGTGTTGCCTGAATAGTAAAAGAATTGTTGGTGAAACCAGTGGAATGAGATGGAATATTAATCCTAAGATTAGATGAGGAGCGAAGGACCTTATCATGAGTTGAAAAAAGATACTGGAATGTATCCTTGAGATATGTCGGAAAAGTTGGATTATTCAAACTTGAGAAAAGAACAAGCAGAATTCTAGAGTGTCGTCTTTGTCAAATAGTGAGCCATTTCAGGCTTCCATTTCATTTTAGGACGATAATGAGAGGTGTGATAATATTTTCTGAGACCAAATACATATCTAATATATATTGAGACGACGCACGAGCTTGTTAAGAAGATTTTGGTTCAAATCTGGGTAGTACACATCTGCATAATCAATAATGGGCACTATAAGTGTTTACACAAGTGCTAGCTTTGTTTTGATAGGAATAAAGTTTAGACGATAGAGGGATCGTAAGGTGGCAAAGACTTTGCGGCTCATTTTGGTAACATACATACAAACATAATGATTTCTTATATTTACGCGAACACTACACACTGAATAAAACTATTTTTTACGGATTTTATCGCGTTTAATTTACTATTTTTAATTCCCGACGTTTCGGGTGTCTCCCCTCCCCCTCCCCCCGTAACCATGGGTTGCTGTAAAGCACCCGAAAGTAGGGAATTAAAAATAGTAAATCAAACGCGATAAAATCCGTAAAAAAAAGAGTTTTATTCAATACATACAAACAGTACATTATGTTGTCTATATACAAGCCAAGATTTCTTACAAAGGAAGAGAACATTCTCCAATCAATTTTGGACAACATTCTCAAGCTACCTACGAGTATAGCTTGACACTTTGTTGGATTAACTGATATTCCAAAACGCTTAGAACATTGTTTTACGGCTTTTAAATTCAGATTTAACTCTTCACTAGATGATTGCAAGTAAATTTAGAGTTTGTCAGTATATAGCTGGTACAAACAATTAAGGGTAGATGTGATCAAGTTCATAAAAACTTAAAAAATTAACGGAGAAAGTATACCGCCTTGTGGGACGCCAGCATCAAGACTAGCCCACAGCAAACTCTTCTGTCCCACATGGACGGACTGCTGACACCCGCAAAAATATGAAGAAAACCAATCCAAGTCCGAGAATGCGAATCTTAAATGAGACGGGACGGGATAGATAAATGGACATCATGGTCAACTGCGTTAAAAAATTTAAAAAGTCACCAAGCACCATTACAGTGGTGTTTTTCTTTTCCATCCCTTGTCTGATGTCTTCCGTAACTTTCAATAATGTTGGACGAAATCCAGACTGATTATCGCTGAGTAAGTTATGTTTAAGTATAAAATTGGAGACATGTTTATGTACACAGCCTTCCAGAACTTTAGATAGAAAGGGCAATATAGATACAGGACGAAGATGGTTAGGTAACGTGGGGTTCGAAATTTTGGAAATAGTACGTATGAAAGGCTTATTTTCAGAGAGTTGGTTACTGACCTGAGTCTAACGAAAAGTTAATAATATGAGTAAGTGCAGGGAGTACATACTCCAGTATACAGACTATCATTGCTCTACTGATTTAATCTCACCTACACCTACCTACAGCCTCGGATTTAACGGCTAGAACATTTTTTTAATATCATCTTCGTTCACTGGAGAAAATTAAAAAAAGGACTTTGAGATATTTATTATTATTGCTTATATTTTATATCATTTATTATTGACTTTTGAAATAATATTCCTTTTTTTAATAATTTTAGAATAGAAAAGAATAATTTTTATTCAATATATATAAGACTAGCTGGCCCGGCAGACGTTCTTCTGCCCTTTCTGGTTGATGGCACGATGAGTTTTATTTTCACACACTTTTCGATAGATTTATTAAACGTAGCTGTAATCCTCTTTAGAACTAATAGAACTAGCAGCAGCGGTAATGACAATAAACTTAAAAAAGAGAAAACATAACCCTTTTTTACTCCTCCGTAAGCGAATAAAAAGTACTCTATACGAGTATGTTATACACGTCATTTACTATTTACATACAAAATTTCATGGAAATCCGTTCAATAGTTTTTACGTGAATCGTGAACGCACAAGTTTTCTACAGATTTATTATATGTATAGATGATATATTTCTTATTAAAAGTAATTTTTACTTTAACCACTGATT